TGGGAATTGTCCATTGGGATTATCCATTGGAACATTCTAACGGAATCATCCTTGGGAATTGTCCATTGGAATTTTCCATGGGAATTGTCCATTGGGATTATCCATTGGAACATTCTAATGGAATCATCCTTGGGAATTGTCCATTGGAATTTTCCGTGGGAATTGTCCATTGGGATTATCCATTGGAACATTCTAATGGAATCATCCTTGGGAATTGTCCATTGGAATTTTCCGTGGGAATTGTCCATTGGGATTATCCATTGGAACATTCTAATGGAATCATCCTTGGGAATTGTCCATTGGAATGTCCATTGGAATTGTTCTTTGGAATTATCCATGGGAATTGTCCTTTGGAATCATCCTTGGGAATTGTCCATTGGAATTTTCCATGGGAATTATCCATGGGAATTATCCATTGGAACATTCTAATGGAATCATCCTTGGGAATTGTCCATTGGAATTTTCCATGGGAATTGTCCATTGGGATTATCCATTGGAACATTCTAATGGAATCATCCTTGGGAATTGTCCATTGGAATTTTCCGTGGGAATTGTCCATTGGGATTATCCATTGGAACATTCTAATGGAATCATCCTTGGGAATTGTCCATTGGAATTTTCCATGGGAATTGTCCTTTGGGATTATCCATTGGAACATTCTAATGGAATCATCCTTGGGAATTGTCCATTGGAATCATCCGTTGGAATTGTCCTTTGGATTTATTCATTGGAATTGTCCTTTGGAATTATCCATGGGAATTGTCCTTTGGAATCATCCTTGGGAATTGTCCATTGGAATCATCCGTTGGAATTGTCCATTGGGATTATCCATTGGAACATTCTAACGGAATCATCCTTGGGAATTGTCCATTGGAATTTTCCATTGGAATTATCCATGGGAATTTTCCATTGGAATTGTCCTTTGGATTTATTCATTGGAATTACCCATGGGAATTTTCCATGAGAGGAATCCTTTGGAATTATCCATTCCATGGAATTATTGTCTGTGGCAGTTGTCCATGGGATTTATCCATTGGAAAAGAGGAGTCCCAAATTCCCAGGAGTCCCAAATTCCCAGGGAATTCCTGAAATTCCTTCCCAGAGAGGATTTGGGATGGGGATGGACCCAATGCCAGGCTGGGAATGGAGGGAATTCCCTGGGAAAAAGGAAAAATCCCAAAAATCTGGTTCAAATTTAGGAAGGAATTCCTGGGACATTTCAGGGAGTCTCAATTATCCCAAAAAAACCCCAAATCCCAGAAAAAGAACCCCAAATCCCCAAAAAAAGACAAATCCCCACCCCAGAAAATCCCGAAATCCTGCAGAAAACCTCAAATCCCCCAAAAATTCCCAAAAAGTTCCCCAAAACCCTTTGAAATTTGGTTGAATTTTTGCTCCATGGATCCCACCCCAAACCATTCCGGGATTCTGGGATCCGGGATCCATCCCCAGGGATTTTTATGGGATTTGGGGATGGAAAAGAGAAGTGGAGTCCCGAATTCCCAGGGAATTCCCAAAATTCCTTCCCGGAGAGGATTTGGGATCCAATGCCAGGCTGGGAATGGGAGGAATTCCCTGGGAAAGGGAAAAAATCCCAAAAATCTGGTTCAAATCTGGGAAGGAATTCCTGGGACATTTCAGGGTATCCCAATTCTCCAAAAAATTCCCAGAGAATCCGGGGCCGTCTCACCCTCGGAATTCTTCCAAGGACAAATCCGATCCTGGAATATTCCCGTGCCTTCTCCTCAGGGTCCCTCCCCCACAAACCACCCCGGGATTCCCGGAAAATCCCCGACAGCATCCAAGGAAATCTTGGACGGCCCCGGCACGGCGGGAGCGGACCGCGCCGGAAGCGAACCGGCGCCACCCCGTGCGGAATTCCGGGATTTTTTTGGGGAGCCCGTTCCGTTCCCGACGCCTTTCCCGTTTCCTTGGCAGCGTTTTCGGGCCGGCGGGCGCGGCGGCGCCGCAGGGCATGTACAACAACATGAGCATCACCGTCTCCATGGCCGGCCCCGGCGTTCCCAGCGGGTCATCAAGGTGCCACCAGTGTTGGGTGACACCATTGGGTGACATCTCTTGGGTTTGAGGTCAACAAGGTGCCACCAACGTTGTGTGACACCCCTTGGGTTTGAGGTCACCAAGGTGCCACCAGTGCTGGGTGGCACCCAGTGGGTGACATCTCTTGGGGCTGAGGTCATCAAGGTGCCACGAATGTTGTGTGACACCCATTGGGTGACACCCCTTGGGTTTGAGGTCACCAAGGTCACACCAATGCTGGGTGACACCATTGGGCTTGAAGTCACCATGGTGCCACCAGCATTGGGTGACACCCCTGGGGTTTGGAGTCACCATGGTGCCCCACGGGATCCCCACCGCTCGGTGGCTGGGGTGCGGTGCTGGCGCTGAGCGCGGCGTGTCGCGGCAGGTGGCGGAGGCGGCGCTGCGGCCGCCCGGGCTCTACTGCGGCCAGCTGGGCTCCGGCGAGCTGCTCAAGGCCGACGCCGACGGCGCCCAGGTCAGTGGCAGCTCCTCACACGTCCCCAGCCATGGGGACACCCCCAAAGACCGCCGGGAGGGCCCGCAGCGGGGCCACCCAGGGCCACCGTGGCTTGGGTGGGGTGGGTTCTTCCAGGAGGTCACGGCTGGGGTGAAGGCACCCGGGTCACACCTGCGCTGGGTGGCACCCAGTGGGTGACACAGCTTGGGGTTGAGGTCAACAAGGTCACACCAATGTTGGGTGACACCATTGGGTGACACCCCTTGGGTTTGAGGTCACCGTGGTGCCACCAATGTTGGGTGACACCCATGGGGTGACATCTCTTGGGGTTGAGGTCATCAAGGTGCCACCAGTGTTGGGTGACACCATTGGGTGACATCTCTTGGGTTTGAGGTCAACAAGGTGCCACCAACGTTGTGTGACACCCCTTGGGTTTGAGGTCACCAAGGTGCCACCAGTGCTGGGTGGCACCCAGTGGGTGACATCTCTTGGGGCTGAGGTCAACAAGGTGCCACCAACGTTGTGTGACACCATTGGGTGACACCCCTTGGGTTTGAGGTCACCAAGGTCACACCAATGCTGGGTGACACCATTGGGCTTGAAGTCACCATGGTGCCACCAGCATTGGGTGACACCCCTGGGGTTTGGAGTCGCCATGGTGCCACCAGCATTCGGTGACACCATTGGCCTTGAAGTCACTAAGGTGCCACCAGTACTGGGTGACACCCATTGGGTGACACCCCTTGGGTTTGAGGTCACCAAGGTCACACCAATGTTGGGTGACGTCCATTAGGCTTGAAGTCACCATGGTGCCACCAGCACTGGGTGACACCCCCAGGGTTTGGAGCCACCATGGTTCCACCAGCATTGGGTGACACCATTGGCCTTGAAGTCACCACGGTGCCACCAGCACTGGGTGGCACCCAGTGGGTGACACAGCTTGCGGTTGAGGTCACTAAGGTGCCACCAACGTTGGGTGATATCATTGGGTGACATCTCTTGGGCTTGAAATCACCATGGTGCCACCAGCATTGGGTGACACCCACTGCATGACACCCCTTGGGGTTGAGGTCAACAAGGTCACACCAGTGTTGGGTGACACCCATTGGGTGACACCCCTTGGGGTTGGAGCCACCAGGGTCGCACCAAGGTTGGGTGACACCACTGGGTGACAACCCTGGGGGTTGGAGCCACCGTGGTGCCACCAGCACTGGGTGACATCCAGTGGGTGACACCTCTTGGGCTTGAAGTCACCGTGGTGCCACTGATGTTGGGTGACACCCATGGGGTGACACCTCCTGGGGTTGGAGCCATCATGGTGCCATCAGCATTGGGTGACACCCCTTGGGCTCGAAGTCACCATGGTGCCACCAGTGTTGGGTGACACCATTGGGTGACACCTCTTGGGCTTGAAGTCACCGTGGTGTCACCAGCGCTGGGTGGCACGCATTGGGCGCACAAATCTCCAGGACAGCTCCACCCCTGAACCCCCTGAGATGCCTCCAGCCCACCCCACCTCCATCTGGAGCCGTTTTTCTGCCATAATCCCAATTTTTTGTCCCGGATGAGCAACTGGGAGCCACCAGGAACCTCCCAACCCACAGAACTCCAGCACATCTCCACCCACCCTGTTCCTCAAACCCCCTGAGATGCCTCCAGCCCCACCCCAGATCCATTTAGAGCTGTTTTTCTGTCATAATCCCAATTTTTTATCTAGATCCGTACCTGGCATCTGCTGGGAACGTTCCTATCTACAGAAATCCAGGACATCTCCACCCACCCTGTTCCTCAAACCCCCTGAGATGCCTCCAGCCCCACCTCAGCTCTGTTCTGAGCCGTTTTTTGATGTAATCCCAGGTTTTTTTTCCTGGATCAACTCCTGCAGCCACCACCAGGAGCCTCCCCACCCATGGAATCACAGAATCCCAAAATCCAGGAGGCTCCACCCACCCCAGGACCAACCCCATTCTTCAAGCCCCCTGAGATGCCTCCAGACCTCATCCCAGCTCCATTCTGGAGCTCTTTTTGCACTGCAATCCCAAATTTTTTTCCCGGATCAATGCCCAGAGCCACCAGGAGCTTCCCAATCCACAAATCTCCAGCACATCTCCACCCACCCCATTCCTCAACCACCCTGAGATGCCTCCAGCCCCTCCCCACCTCCATTGGGAGCCATTTTCCCACCACAATCCCAATTTTTTTATCTAGATCCGTACCTGGCATCTGCTGGGAATGTTCCCATCCACAGAACTCCAGGACATCTCCACCCACCCCATTCCTGAACCCCCTGAGATGCCTCCAGCCCCTCCCCACCTCCCTCAGGAGCCGTTTTTCTGCCATAATCCCAAATTTTTTCCCGGATGAGCACTTGGGAGCCACCAGGAACCTCCCAACCCACAAATCTCCAGCACATCTCCACCCCTGAAGCCCCTGAGATGCCTCCAACCCCAGCTCCATCTGGAGCCATTTTTCCGCCATAATCCCAAATTTTTTATCTGGATCAGCACCTGGAGCCACCAGGAACCTCCCAATCCACAGAACTCCAGCACAGCTCCACCCCTGAACCCCCTGAGATGCCTCCAGCCCCTCCCCAGCTCCATTGGGAGCCATTTTTCCACCACAAACCCAAATTTTTTATCTGGATCAGCACCTGAACCTCCCAGTGCACAAATCTCCAGGACAGCTCCACCCCTGAACCCCCTGAGATGCCTCCAGCCCCACCCCAGCTTGGTTCAGAGACGTTTTTCCACCATAAAACCATTTTTTTCCCCGGATCAATGCCCAGAGCCACCAGGAGCTTCCCAATGCACAAATCTCCAGCACATCTCCACCCACCCCGTTCCTCAAACCCCCTGAGATGCCTCCAGCCCCTCCCCACCTCCATTGGGAGCCGTTTTTCCACCATAATCCCAAGCTTTTTTCCCTGGATCAGTCCCTGGAGCCACCAGGAACCTCCCAATCCACAGAACTCCAGGACACTTCCATGGGGGTTTGGGGAAAGGGGGGTTTGCACCAGGGGTCGTCCCAGATTTTTGGGGGTTTTGGGCCTTTTTTCCTGGTTTTTGTCCTTTTTTCCCTGATTTTTCTCCGGTTTTTCCCTGATTTTACTCCTTTTTTCCCCTCGTTTTTCCTGTTTTTTCTCCTTTTTTTCCCCTGGTTTTTCTCCTTTTTCCCCCTCTTTTTTCCTGATTTTTTTCCTTTTCCCCCTCTCTCTTTCCCAGATTTTTCTCCCATTTTTCCTTGATTTTTCTCCTTTTCCCCTCTCTTTTCCCCTATTTTTCCTCCTTTTTTCCCTCTACTTTTCCCTATTCTTTCTCCTTTTCCTCCCTATTTTTCCCTGATTTTCCTCCCTATTTTTCCCTGATTTTCCTCCTTTTTTTCCCTGATTTTTCTCCTTTTTTTCCCTGATTTTTCTCCTCTACTTTTCCCTGATTTTTCTCCATTTTTTCCCTGATTTTTCACCTTCTTTCCCCTCTTTTTCCCTGATTTTTCTCATTTTTTTCCTATTTTTTCTCCTTTTTTCCCCTGGTTTTTCTCCTTTTTTCCCTGATTTTTCTCCTTTTCCCCCTCTCTTTTTCCCCTGTTTTTTTTCCTTTTTTCTCCCCTTTTCCCTCATTTTTCTCCTTTTCCCCCTCTACTTTTCCCTGATTTTCCACCTTTTTTCCCCCCGATTTTTCTCCATTTTCCCCTGATTTTTCTCCTTTTTTCCTCCTCTTTTCCCCTGATTTTTCTCCTTTTTTCCTCCTCTTTTCCCTGATTTTTCTCCTTTTTTCCCTGATTTTCCTCATTTTTCCCTCTGATTTTTCTCCTTTTCCCCTCCTTTTTCCCTGGTTTTTTCCTTCTCTTTTCCTGATTTTTCTCCTTTTTCCCCTCTCTTTTTCCCTGATTTTTTTCTCCTTTTTTTCCCTGATTTTTCTCCTTTTTCCCCCTCTTTTTCCCTGATTTTTTTCTCCTTTTTTCCCCTGATTTTTCTCCTTTTTTCCCCTCTTTTTCCCTGATTTTTCTCCTTTTCCCCTCCTTTTTCCCTGTTTTTTTCCTCCTTTTTTTCCCCTATTTTTTCTCCCTTTTTTCCCTAATTTTTCTTTTTTTCCTCCTTTTTTCCCCTGATTTTCCTCCTCTTTTTCCCTGATTTTTCTGCATTTTTTCCCTGATATTTCTCTTTTTCCTCTGATTTTTCTCCTTTTTTTTCCCTGATTTTCCTCCTTTTTTCCTCTGATTTTTCTCCTCCTTTTTTCCGTTTTTTTTCTCCTTTCCCCCCCCTCTTTTTCCATTTTTCTCATTTTTCCTCCTTTTTTCCCTATTTTTTCACCTTTTCCCCTCTCTTTTCCCCTATTTTTTCTCCTTTCCCTCCTCTCTTTTTGCCCTGTTTTTTTCCTTTTTCCCCCCTTTTTCCCC